TATATATATATACGAAATGTTTTCATTTGAGGCGAGTATATGGGCTCCCGTCAATGGCTGGTGAAGAGAGCAGGAAAGGTCAAAAATAACGTTTTAGATGAATCAGGAGTGTGAAGTCAAACGACATATTTCTTGAGTTAGCAACTTGGCTGGAATAAAAACCAAGAACGGGTGCGGAAAAGCCTCAAACTGTCCTCCAGATCAGGTAAATGACAGATTACTAGTATTCAAGCTATATATTCATTCAGGTTGTTGAGTCAGACAATGCGGGCAAGGTGGGTAAAAACAACTCCTGAATAAGGGACACATTTAGTAAAGACCCTCTATCAAGAGGGTGATTTTTAGTTTGCAACAGACTTTCTGATAACAAAGCGGCTGCACTTCCTGATGAAGATAAGTATCAGTAAAAAAAAATTAAAAGACAACACTTTGGAAATCGCTTCTACGTTAACCGACCCCTCTATGCAAGGTGGTTTTTGGACAGCTGACACACGCACCATTTCACTTCCATTCTTACAAAAAGAACGAATTCTTACACAACAGACATTTGATGGGTTATCTCATTGTGAATCACTGCCGTTTGGGTGCACTAATTGATTGAAAACACGGTACAAATACAGGTCGACATTGGTACACTAAGCAATATCGGTCAGCAGCTTTCTCACCGCAAGTCTGCTCTCCAACGGCCAATCACTGGGAGCACATCAGCAGTCATATATCCCCAGTTACTCTCATCATCAAGGGTAACTGCATCGAATCTATTTCTCCGTCAACAATCTGTACTTCCCAACAAGCACGTCGCCAGTTTCGTGGAGAGGGTCGAGTCTTCACATCGGGCATTTTGTCTGTAAACATCAGCAGTCCAAGGCGAATACTCTGACCAGAGTTCCGCTCTTTGTAACCTACAGTCAACCACAACTCTCAGTTTCAAAGCAGTGGTCAAAATATGGTAGCAGCAAACCATTCCACGTGACCAACACAGACGAGAGATGGTCCGTTTTTGCTAAGCCTACATAAAAATACACTGGCATAGTGCTCGGGCACTCGATCATACTAGCCACAAGAATTGAAACTAACATGACTCAGTAAACGGCTAATAAGTAAAATCTGTTGGTTCCGGTACGAGCGGCTAAGTTGAACGACTGGTCATCAAGACACAACAAACTACGTTCCCGTAAAGCAGAAGGAGTTCTTGTTTAGGGGATATGACCTTTCGAGGATTGCCATCCGGAGCTTGGCCAAGTGGTGGGCAATGCTTGAACCTTTAGTCCTCGTAGTATTATTTGACTGAATGCGAAAATGAACACATCATTCTATTAGTTGTAGTGTATTATGTGTATTTACTATTGGAAACTAGTTTGTTCTAAATTCTATCTTACTTCCAAACCGATTAAGGATGGCTCACCGTAAATCAGTCTGGCTGAAACAATGTGATACATATATATAGTACGTAAATGTGAACCACAGAGAGATGGAAAGTGCAAACAAGATATCCCTTAAGAGGCCTGCTTAAATGCTTGCCAACAAGAGTTTAGAATGACAAAAGGGGTAGAATACAGAAAGTAGCAGGAATTCCGAATTTCGGTAGTTGGCTGAAAACGGATGACACGAAAAGACCAGTATAGAGGGACAAATTGACAGAAGTAGCTTCATGAGCATAGATGGTTGCCAAAACTGAAAGTCTGAGATTGGGGGATGGCAGGCGGAGGTCACCTGCCATGTCAACAGCGAAAGAATTAGGTTGGAGCTGTTACACATAAATAAACAAATAAGACTTGGAAGTCATCGGTCGAGGAGGTACTGGTTATCGTACGAATAGGATTAAGTGCAGAAAAACAAAACAATTGTAACGCACCCCAAACATGGCAACAAAAAGGTGTAAGGCACTCTAGAATTTACTCCAAAAACGACTCAAATTGGTGCAAATTGTCTGGGATGGAGTAAGATAATACCCAATTTCCGGTAGCCGTTTCCCTAAGGAATTGTTCACGAGCGAACGAGAGGGAGTTTCAGAAATAAATCATTCGGTTACTAGTCGAAGATGCGGATGAGTAAGTGGAGTGCAATCTAGATCCATAGGGGACTAAAAACTATGATAGGTTTGATAGGGAAGATACAGAATATGGATAGAGCTAGATGACTTTACTACGGCCGCGGAAGATGGATCCAACTCGGTGATCAAAGCAACTCTGGTGTTCAGGTTGCTTGTGATCTGCATGAGGCCACTATGAATACGTGAGGAAGCACCGTACCGAAACAACTTAGAAAGGAGACAATGAGGAATGACGTCTTCAGCAAATGAACTGATGCAAAAATGGCCGATATGGTATGGCTGACATGCAGCCAACTCACGTAAGCTATCCTCCAGAAACCCCTGGATTTTTACTGACAGTGGAAAACTAGACGGAACACGATTCTTTGGACGGCTATTGATTCACATTACCAATGTTGGGTGCACGTCGGACGATACCCGATGGGAAGACGAACAAGCCGAATCGGATGAACAGCTTTTGGAAAATCTATTAAAACCAAAAGATTCCCGAGGCAGGTTCCACATTTGCAAGACTGAGCGTTTATTCAGAATCACTCGGGCTGGTGTTATTTTCAAAACCTAAGTATGTGAGGACTTATTTCTAGTTCAAATCAGATATGAGTGGTATGAATGGATACTCATTGTTCGGGTTAAGTTAGGTTACACCTTTTGGAATGAGGAATACATGAGTCTTCCCACGTAGCTGTAAAAGCACCAGAAGATCACCGGAAAATCTATTTGATCCGAGACCACCAAACTTATCGATTTCATCGTCAGAGGGAACTCCTCGTTAGAGGATTTTCCGGTAAATACATGGTCACAATCCGTGTGATCATTATTCGATGAGAAAGAGAGCCATTTGAAGTTGTGATCAATGGAGAAGCCCGGAATGCCAATTTAGGATAAAGGGTCTAAATGCAGGATCTACTCGAGTCTGGCATTCGGAAGAATGAACAGTACAGACGCATCACTACCGTTCGTTGAACAATGAATGTCGGAGAGTTATTCAAAGAACAGAAGGCAATGGACCGATCTCACATTCTTCTTCCAGCCGCAAATGCTACGAAGAAAGAATGCCAAAAAAGTAGCTGATGACCGACGATCCAACGTGTGCCGTAGTTTCATTCGTTTGGCTTAACACCTGGCGACACAGCCCAGAAGCTTTGACTGGTAAACGTAAGTGATGAACGTCCACGGACAATAGTGCATGCTTCCTACCGTCCGGACTCGACAACATTTAACGCACGAGGCTGTGCGAATGCGGTAATTTTTCATTCGCGTCAACAGAAACCAGAAATAGGACATGTTTAATGTTGTCTCTGATGATGGGAATTTATACCACTTCCGCCAATCGGTGCTTTGGCATTCCCAAGATCAATAGCCCAAGGGATGATTTTTCATTCGATAAAACGGCTGGCCTAATACTTGTTGAGTATATACAGGCTCCAAAAATTTACTTGCGTTTTTCACCACATTTAACTCAAGCGTGCTTCTGGAGATAATGTTAGCAACAGAAGGACCAGTAGCAATCTATCCCAGGTATTTAGCCGTTTGAATAAGGATGGTTCATTGCACAATCGTTTGCGTATTTAGTCCGTAGATGGGAATGACCCATATTCAGTATTTCAGTAGTCAGTCAGAACTCAATCTCCTCAAACACGAAAAGAAAACATCAATCAGGGGGGCCTTTCTGCCTAGCATCACTGTCTATTTGAGCATGACAGGTGCAAACGACAGGGAGGGATAAACTATTACAATAAGTTCTGACGCCGTGTGAAATAACAACACCAGATTCTGCTTACGCCGTTCTGGATCGAACTTGGATTATTTTACAGTACAGTGGGAAAATGAGTCAGCTGATCAAAACGACAATTTGATGGCCTAGTAAGAGAATGTTATCGGTAGATTTTGCATCTGATGTGGGTGTTGCAGAAAACATGCACGAATACAAACAAATTTTGGTCATTTCGCGGGCCCACAAGTAGACTACGACTTACCAAGCAGTAAAAGTTTCACTTCTTTCTTCCCAGCACTTTTATCTTTATGAAGCTGTCTCTCAATTTCCTTATTCAACCGTTGCTGCTCTCTGGCTTCTTCAGTCATAAAGCAGGACATTTCATTTGGGTTCAGATGGGAGCAATTACAATATGAATGAAATTATTTACGGGCTACATTTTGGCTCCGTGTGCGTACGATATCCCACTTGCAAGCCCTTTTTAGGCTTCGAAAAACATGTGACCATCCAATTCATGTACACACACACACACACACAATGCCCAATCTCGGTAAAGAACTAAAACACTGGTAATCGGATTATTCGTATCATGGTTTCGATTTCTCCATACTTTGTAGCAACTCATCGTACAGATGTACAGATGGGGCGTGGCACCATAGAAAATACGCACACTTATATTGTTTGTTTGCTTCACTCTGTTCGTCGGCTTACCGGACAAGCTAATTTTTTTAACGAAGTGTGTAATAAACACCCTTTTTATCGATGCAGTTAGTAAAAATGACCTGTGTTTACGCTACTAGTTTTTCAAACAAGAGACTGAAAATACCACCATATAGAAGTTCCGTTTTATTTTCAGGCAGACCTCGTGAAATTGAAATTGTGAAATTCAAAATCAGTAATAAACTATAACCTTATCGCACTGTCAAACACATCGTCTAATGGCACACACAACCCGCAACCAGCGTCACATTATTCTGGGACTTACAGTGTAGGGGGTATCCACTCTTTAAAAGCACTCCACTGGTTGAGATTCATCGGGTGGATGGAGGAAGTTGAATATGAGTAAAGTGATCTACTTAACTCTTTCTGAGGATCTAGAATAGGACAAACACTTGATCGTCCTCAAGTAATCTTATTTCACTTGTGGGGTTTTGTGGCATAGATATTTTTTCATATTCATACTACTACCGTTTGAACGGTAGTCCTTCTGTTCTTGCACAAATATTCCGGGTGAGTCCACACCAAAAGGGGGCTCTGGACTCGAGCTTTGCTCTTATTGGGGCGAATCAGTAGTGCATATCCAAAGGCCTTGCCGGGACTGGAACTCTGGACATCTGAGATGCGAGGCAGGTGTGTTACTACTAGTCCACCAACGCACGTTGGACGCTTCTGAATTTTCACGTCTAAACAGGCGAACTTGTTCACGCTTGGGGATGTGATTGGTTTGCCCGAGTAATCGAAAGACGACCTTATTTCACAACAAATTCTTCGAATGGGGTAAAACAATGGATAACCACAGATGTGCTTATGAAGGCGGTCTTGTGTGTAACTGAATCAGTGCAAATCGGCTGAAGCATCAACATCGGTGTATTGAAAATAACTAATTATTAGAGAAACCGGCATAGGTTCAGTTCCTTGGCGTACATCAGTCGCTAACAGCTCACGTGGTTAAAGAAAGAAGTAGGAGGAACACTACTCACGACGTCGCTGAAAACGCTTCTAGATTCTGCTGCAGAACATCACAAACAAGAGCAAGAAGTGGGAGGAACCTTTGCAGTGTTAGCGCAAATGAGGCCACAAGGATCTGAACGTCACCTGGTGGAACAATATAGTCCAGATACGCATTGTATAGGTGCACTATTGCTCAAACGGATGTCTCATGGGCTTTTGCTGGTTCATTACAGCGACTGGAATCAACGCTGCTTGACTTTCGGCAAGAAATTAGTTGAAGTGAATACAACTGTGAAAAGTGAACAATATCTGCCTAATCCCATGGGGGACGATTGAAATGTTGAAAGGCTGTAGCTTGCGTAAGCCAATCAAGCCTAATAGAAGTGAAAAGATGCCGGAATGATGAGCGCTCTGGAGGTAGTCTAGTTCAGTGAGGACGGGGGTTCCAGTTTACCTATGGATGTCCGAAAAACGGGTCGGATACGGTGGCGAGGCACCGTACTGCACACCTGCTGCCAGCGGGATTCCTTGAGCTTCCCATGCGTGTGAAAAAATTCTCTGGGCTGACTAGCGTTTGACGGTTTTGAGGACTAACATCCAGCCTGCTTATCAAGTAGTTCGATCGGCTATTGGATTCCATTTCTTGGCACAACGGCCATTCCAAACATCTGGTGGACATAGTTGGCGCCCTCAAGACTGGTTCAGCGTCCTGTGTGCATGTTGACTGTATACGCCCTGGATACTGGTTCGAAAGCAGGAAGATGTTGACTCTTCAATCGATTCTAGTACATTCGCATGTTCCGCCTTTCACGCTATCCATCCAAATCACACGAAATTCAATCTGAATGTGTTGTCCAGGCAGATCGTACAAACTTCATCGGTATATGGTCATATAAGCAAAACTTGTTTCTTCTGTGGACATCCCATGTGTTATCAAAATCAGCAGAGGCATTAACACGGGTAACTGACAAGGTCGATCCAAATTTCGGAAATGTTTACTCATGAAATATTGAAAACCAGAGGCACCAAGAGATTCATTAACATCTCAGTAAATAAGGTTTGTACCATAACATTCCCACCAGCTTTGTTTTCGCGCCAATTTCTCCGATCACAGTCATCAAACCAGTGCTTCCTAGCCTGCGATAAGGTCGCTTTCAACTAGATGGTTGTCTTACCAAAAAGTGATTGGACTAAACCGTAGAATCAGCCTCAAAAACCCCAATCAAAGCCTCAATCAACCCAGAAAACCGCAAAACCTCATACAGACGATTTACGGTCCTTTTCTCTCCAGGTTGTCGATCAAGAAAACAATAGGACGGCGGTAAATTCAGTTTAAAAAGACGCTGTATTTGACAATATAGTGATCAAAGGACAATTCGACCGGCGCCCTTCAAAATGATCTCTGGAACAACCCAATGAACCTGAACAGAACATTTTACACCTGTTCAATCAAACACAGAGGCCTGGCGCGAGATACAACTTCGCAAATGTGAGAAAACACCAGTCCGGACCGTTTGTACCGGGGGGCAGTCTGACGATGCTACAACGAAATACCTCGAAAACAGAATACCGACAGAATGGGACACGTCAAAGTGATCGCAATCCTAAAAAGCCGCTGCATAACTTCACCAAACGATAGCGTTAGGACCAAAGGTGTTCGGTGACATCATTTTGCGCAGGTTGATCGAATACAGGGTGAGACAATTTCATCAGAATAGATCTGCATTTAACCATGTTAGAGGATGCGTTGATCATAGTTTTTGCTTTGACACAGGTTGCTGAACACCGGTGATCTTCAACAACCATCTCTTTTCTTGCTCCCAATGTACTTTTAGGCTCCGTAGATCGTCAGAAACTAGGTGACAAATGCCAGTACCTGGAAGTACACAAGGGAATGCAGAAAGTTTTCGCACCAGCTCACCACGTCCAGTGATACAAAACAACTCTGTAGTCCCTTATCACTCCTGTTTGACCATGATGTTAATATCCTGCTTGCTTCGTTGATGAGTGACACCAGGCATCACTGGGGCCAAATTTATCGTTCCAAGGAGGAAAGTTCATCAATTCAGACGTTTACGACAGGATGCCACCAGAGGATGAAGCAGTTAGTTATAACTGTTTCTTACGCGTTTGTGCTGCATTGACATTTTAATACGGTCAGTCAACGGCCCAGTCAACTTCACTCGTTTGTTCTAAAATTTCTGTCAACATACAGTGCAAATAGCCTCAGTAATCTAGCAAACCGTCATACTATTCGATTTTCCTGTCATTGTTATTCCTATTCGATTAAGTGAAATTCTACGGCACTCATCGGACGGTGAACTACCGTGTACAGAATTCCAGTAAACTTGTTGCGGACCTCGCCAGATTTACTGACTGAGACTCAGCCAATAAAGGTATGTTCACGCTGTAAAAACTACCACCTTTGTTACCTAACCAGTTCTGCACGGAGTTAACCTGGGCCCGTCACGTCAAAATGGTTCCCCCACAAATTCATTACTAATCTCCAGTTTGTTTTCGTCTTTAAATATCACCCTCGTCTCAACCTAGAATACACTCGTGATGTCTGAACTTGAGTCCAACTCCACCCACCCCGCACATCCGGACGGAATTCAAAGAACGGCCAGTGCCCCTTCGGTAGCCTAGCTCCCACTAGAAGCTTCTTTACACAGTTATTATGTGACATCCATTTAGGTGTTTTATCGCTATTTTCCTAACTGGCACTCCCATAGGAACTTCCGGTTGCCACGGAACAGGTTTTTGTGCATACGATTAATGGGATCAGAAATATGACATGGACGTATCGCTCAAAATGACGCCAATCAATTTGTTCCCAATCAAACGCTCTTCGTGCGGAAATTCCAAATTACGAAGTTATGACAACTGTGTTAGCGTCGCTTCCAATCTACCTTGTGCCGAATCCTCCCTTTGAAACTTTGAACACACCTTGCGATTCAAGGATTTTCCCCCTCCGCAATCATTTGTTTAGCTCCGGTAATGTTCGGGCCTGTCATAAACAATCCGGGGCAATATCCGAACGCGGACTAAGCACCTCATTTCCTTGTCCAGGTCTGGAACCATCTGACCGTCGTCTCACGTGATGAAATGTTCTTAGAACTCCCCTTTATTTATTTCTAGGCGAAACACCAGTTTGTTACGTTAGCATAGATTGGTTATCATTTTTGCCTACCAGTTTGTCTGAAATATCCCCTTGACAGAAGGTCATTCAAGGGAAAGTTGACCTTTCTGACATCTCTTCTACTGACTTGGATGCACATAAAACGAACACAATCGATCGAAACTGTAAATATATGCGAATTTGATTAAAGTCGATGATGAACAGTTCAGACGGATGAAACTGGTGTGAGATCCGAGAATCAGGAGAGGCTGAATCATGTGAAGCTGACAAGTAACCGTCCGGTCACGTGAAAGTGAACGAGTGTACAAAACTTCTCTGTACCTGTTTATTCTGCTGTTCTCATAAACTTTGGCAGCTTGATTCGAAACGTCAGCGTGCCCGTTGAGAAGAAAACTAAGATGTTTGCATTTCTTCGTTTACCGTTCTACCAAGTGGACGGTACTTGCTCAAACGTATGCGCTGAAAATGCCTCATCGTTCAAACTTTACAGAAACAGGCTAATTCACCAACGCACATCGAAATGTTCTGATGCGGAATTCTGTCTATTGTCTCTTGCCCGATGATCGAATGGTTTTTGAAAACTACGTTTGGATGTCCATTCTGGCAAAGGTATTTTTGAGTCTTCGGAATGGCACTTCACTAACAATATCATCCTTGAAAGGAAGAAGCGGGAGTAATTTGGGGTTTGATCTTTTGTATAGTTTGTTTTGAAGGTGTAGGCACTAACTTATCCCTGTCAGTTTGCGATACACAACGTTATACCGACCCACCTTGTGTCCTTACCAGTAGCACATCCTAGAAGGGCATCTGATTTTCGAGTTAAATTCACACGTAAACGGTGTAGCTGAATGGGTCCTATAAAAAACATCTAGAATAGTCAGCGAAAGCATCACACACTATGAAACTATCATCGACATACATGCATATCATACCAACCAGTATAGAATCCTCAAGCTTGAACAAACCCACAAGCAATGGGCAAAGTGAAAAGACCATGGTCACTCCATCCATTTGTCTGTAAATTCGTCAGTTGAACGAGAATTGAGTATTCCCTCTACAATGCTAAATCGGCTCCTTCAATTCTACTGTAGAGATCTTAAGACTACGTCAGACATATTCTATAGTCTGCAGAATGGGAACGTGCGTAATGAGTGATCTACTGTCCTGCCCCCTTTGCAATCAGGATACTATGCAACTGCTTTGAGGTTTTAAAGCACTCCATCCCATTGGTACCAAATCTGGAGTTCCTGGCTGTTGAAACTTTCGTAAAATGATCTTCTGCACCCGTAGTTCCTGCGCTTTCACTGCAGGTTAACATTAGGAATACGGTCTCCTTCTACTAGATCTATTTTATTTACCGCAGCATTTCTGGCCATCCCCTAACAGACACCGCCCTTCCTCACTTAGTGGTTTACAACATAACTTTACTACACTACCGGTAGATAGTGTTCTAATGGCCTACTAACCAACGAGACCCATGAATTTCATCCTTGGTTTGTTCCGCGTCACCGTTCAGCCTTGACGATGGCTCTCTAACAATACGCCAAGCTGATATATACCATCATCATCATCATATATATATACCGTCATCACAGGTAAGGGGAAAATTCAATCGACCGTAAGCCCAGTCGAGATCAATACGGTGGGATCGAGGTAACTAGCCTCGTAAAAAAACGCAAATCAGGATATATGCAACTGCTTTGAGGTTTTAAAGCACTCCATCCCATTGGTACCAAATCTGGAGTTCCTGGCTGTTGAAACTTTCGTAAAATGATCTTCTGCACCCGTAGTTCCTGCGCTTTCACTGCAGGTTAACATTAGGAATACGGTCTCCTTCTACTAGATCTATTTTATTTACCGCAGCATTTCTGGCCATCCCCTAACAGACACCGCCCTTCCTCACTTAGTGGTTTACAACATAACTTTACTACACTACCGGTAGATAGTGTTCTAATGGCCTACTAACCAACGAGACCCATGAATTTCATCCTTGGTTTGTTCCGCGTCACCGTTCAGCCTTGACGATGGCTCTCTAACAATACGCCAAGCTGATATATACCATCATCATCATCATATATATATACCGTCATCACAGGTAAGGGGAAAATTCAATCGACCGTAAGCCCAGTCGAGATCAATACGGTGGGATCGAGGTAACTAGCCTCGTAAAAAAACGCACCTCGGTGACCTGAGAATGTGTGTGTAGTGGAATGGGCCTCGTTCCTGGATAAAAGAAACAATTATGACCGGAAACCAAAGTAAGCCAATACGCAGATAAAACTTCACGGAATTTCGTCTGGCAAAAACTGGGGAGACTCTCATTACTGCTCTGCTCAGATTTCCTTCGACACTGGTGGGCGTGACCAGCCGACCCCTGGGGCTGCTACATCCTTGTAAGGAGTAGGACTTTTACCTAAACAAATTCAGCTGAGCTCAGAGTTGATGAAGCACTTTCAAGCACAACTTTGGAAAGCCGTTTCAGGTGTCAAAGCTAGTGGAATTGTGTATTTCTCCCAGAAATCGTGAAGATACCCACAAGAACATTCTCCGTCTTAAGTGTACGGATTTCCACTGGCCTATCAGAAGTTTGTGGAAAATTCTGAATAGCAAAACAACTTAAATCAGAATGGCGCCACTGAAGACGGGAGCAGACTCTGACATTGATGGAGGATCCATGGAAGCTATCCACGGCCATATGTGGACAGTTGTCCTGAGTAGTAGACGTCTAAAACTCTCACAGACACAAGGAATGGCTGTCAAGATACCTGAAAGAATATTATTTTTTTCAGAAGGGTTTGGTAAACAATCGGTAGTTTTTATTTGGGCAACGTTTCGCTTTTGACACAGAAGCTTCATCACCCCCAAATTGGCCAGGTTTTAAGGCAGACGGAGAACCAATCAGTAAGATTTCATACTAGATCAGTTTTGAGTGTCAATTAACAGCCCTTGTCGGTTGGTGGTTGTCCAAATCTTGCGTTGGTGGATTGGGAGGGTTCACATTAATTCCGGGAACTGCGTCTACCTGATGAGCCCCAAAAAGGGCGAAATCGGTCGTGGGCTGTCGACGGATTTTCAGCAACCTTATGAGTAGTACATTACAAAGATATTACATGTATCGCGATATTTCAAATATCGTAGCGACTGAAACATGAGGCGGCCTGGTGCAGCACATTCAGTTGCCTGAGGACATCATAAACGAGAGATTCAGCTGAGTTCCAGGTGAGTCTCTCGAAAAAACCAAATTATTTTCCAAATGAGTGTATATTTGCTAATTCTGATCAAGTTTGGTTTTTCAATCTTCCACTTCAGGGTGCTTCAAATGATGATTCACTTCGAGTGCCAGTGGTAGATTTTTCTTGGTCTTTGTGGGGTTGTGAGTGCTGCGACAATTTAATTAGAGGGGGGTGCGGTGAGGTCAAGTGGAGTTCAGACGATGACTACTGTTCCTTCTGATGACCGCCCACCAACACGTGTCAGCTCGATTGATCCAGAACCGTTCTCCACAAGCCTCCGATTCTGTTGACATTGGAAGGTTTGGCGATTTCTACCGCCCCAGCCATCAGTCTCTGTGACGCCGACGGTAGTCCTCGCCTCAAAACCTCAACATTTCCGAAATCTATTTTGTGTCCTGTGTATGTTCTGCAATTGTCGAGTCTTTCAGTAACGCTCGATAATCATCTGCGTTTCTCAGCGGCCTGTTTGTTTTCCCCCTATGCTGTCCGAGTCTGTCCTATGTAGACCTTAGTCGTTGTACTAAATTTTGTAGGCGCATTCCCCGGTTCTGTTTTCCGGGAGGTGATCCTTCAATCGCATCAGTGCCGAGTGTTTCCCTTTGGAAAGCTACTCCTATGTAGGCTGTGTTTAGAATCCTTCGAAAGATCTCCGATGTCCCTGGTTTATATGGAACAAAAGCCACCCCAAGCCATTCTCGTTTGGGTTTCACTACCGGTAACAGTACCCTTCGTAAATGACGCCTAATCAAACTAGTTGGATATCTACTGTCCCGAAGCTTTTTCTTCACTTCTATTGGGGCCGCTGTCCGATCAACTGCTTCTGTGTTCAGGGCCTAAATATTAATGAGGCAATACTGGCGAATACCGATTTCGGACGGGCAGACGAGTAGCTCAAAACTGCCCCAGTGTCAGCTGGCTTCTCGTATACTGTGGTCTTTAGTTCGCCCCCTACCTTATGGGTCATGCACTCAAAAAATGCCAATGTATCCCAGTTGGCTCCATCTCTACACTAAATTTGATATGTGGACTTAGTTCATTCTGATAATAGTAAAACTCCCAAACCTTGTTTCGTTTCATCACGACGAAATTATCATCCACATAACGCCAGAATACCTTGGATGGGTATGAGAATCCGCCTAGAGTTTGTTCAAATTCTTCCATAAATATATTTGCCAAAACATGGGATATTGGAGGTCTCATTGCTAGACCTTGTTCTTGAGTATAAACCACTGAGTTGAAAACGAAGTGGATGAGATTCAGACAGGTTTTTATGCCTGTCCACCGTAAGCTGTGTCCGTTCTGAAAGGGTGATGTTTGCTAGTAGCAGTCGTTTAGCTATTTCTAAATAGTCCCCTTTTGGCGAATTGACATCGAACCTTACAACGATGTCATCTGGTTCAACGGTGACCTCCGCTACTTTGTTGGCAAAGTCATACGAATTCTTAATGTAAGTACTATGTTTCCCAGTGAGGAGTTTTAAAATACAGGCCAAGAAGCTGGGTTTTGTTACTTATTTGATAGAACTTATCGCACTGTTGCTGGTGGCGGGCACAAAGTCCAACAAAATGCCAGTAGAAGAAAGAAACTGATCAATGACTCCACCACCCCGCTCTGGGTGGTTACTTAGGTATCCCAAAAATACGGATGTCAAAGAACAAATCAAGTCGATCGCCGTCTTTTATCCATCAGCAGGTGGAATCATGCATATAACCAAGGTATGTACACCAGCTAGTTGTAATAACAGAGATAGCTGAAAATAGCAAAATATAATTTAAAAAAACAGGCCACTTAGTCTTCGCTAGACTCGTCCGTTTCATCATCGTCATCTTCCTCTTCTTCTGCATCTTTAAGCCAAGTCAAAAATGGCTTCAGCTTATCACGAATCGCCTTCGTATGTTCCGATAGTTCTTCGTCTGCGAGAAGTGGTGAGTTGTCTAGCCACCACCATATCGCAGGTTCTGTAAGAAGTTCTCTGTCGTATAGCATGTGAGCGATGAATGGGCTAGAGGACATGATAAGCGGTTGATAGCAGGCGGAATCTTCAACAGCCTGAAGACATAAACGTCCATCCGCGTTGGAACCGGAAAAATAAGACCTGAGCACTCCATGGAACCGAGATATTTGTTTTCCAAATTCAGTCATAAATGCACGAATTTGTGCTTTCTCGTCTGCAGCAGAGGCGCCACCCAACACGGCTGAACAAGTTAAGTCCAGAATTGCCTTGACCAAGAGAAACAGTAAATCATCTATTGGTATATTGTAGGCATGTTTCAGGGAATTCACTTCTAGAATCACATTCTCGGTCGCATCCGCGGTATCTCCACAATGCTCAAGCGTACGCTGTATTTCGCTAATCAAAAATAGCTCAGATTGTTCACCTTCATCTGCACTGCCACCAGAAGGCTCAGCCTCACTATCTGTAACACCGGATGCACGACGGCTTTGCTTACGAGTTGGCTTGCCTGCTCGGTGTGACTCGCTAGTACTGCTCAAAAGACGGCTATGGTTAACAGCACGGCGAGACATTTTCATAGAAGATCGGAGCCGATCGTCTGCTGTGTCCCAGAGACTTCCTTCACCGCTTATGTCAATATTCTGTTGTTCGGAAGGCTCTTCCCAGTCACTTTCGCTTCCAGTAGACCGACTGTCAGAGGTTGTGCGCCCGGAGCGTATCTATGGTAAAGAAACGATACGAAAACTTGAGTTCACTGAAGGCCTGGATTGTAAAATACTACAGAACACAATTCGTTACTTATTATCTTTTAGCGAAATTCACGTCATGAGTCATATTCTGTGTGTTGTGGCTCAGGTCGTTCCGGCATTTGTTTCCCGACGGTGGAGAGTCGAGGTGCATTAACGTTGTTCCAAAAAATCTGGGAGAAATAGCAAACCAAGAAGCAGAATGCCAAAGAGCTGTTGTTTTACTTTCATTCCGTAGATTGCCTACTAAATGCCTTCATACGATAAGGACATAGCGTCCTACACAGGTTCTAGTATGATACTGCACGTGACCGAGCGAAGTTGCGGCAGATGGATCAAACTACCAAATGGGCAAACGGATTTCCAGCTCCTTGTTCCCAATACGAATGTAATTATCTCCTCTTTGTAGAGTGATGTGTCTATTTTTGTCACCCAAGCACACTGACAAAGTACCACAACAAAAACAAAGGCACTACAGCGCTACACACCATGATCTTCAATTAGGGGCGCCAAACCGCCATCCTAGTAGCAGTGCTCTTCGCATGCAGTTACTTGGTAAACGTTACGACGAAAAAAGAATCATCATCATAATCACTGACAGCAACCGCAGATAAGAACGCTGGTGCTTCACTGCCGTACAAGCATGTCAGTTCGTTTCAATAAACCCCTATAAAGCAAAGAAACAGTACAAGGAGGGGACCTAGGGTTAGCCTACCACAAACATCCTAGGTGCTTACACCTCCAATACTCAGATAGACAATGTGAATAGAAGTTGACCGCATGAATGCCAGTCATCGGTTAGCCACCATGTCGTTCAGTGTCTCAAGCCAAGCACAAGGACGGTCCACACTGCAAGGCAAAGAACACCCAAAATCTCCCAACATGTTTCACTCCCTTCTGCTATATTGAACTTTATCCACCTCTAGATTCGCGCGATTTAGAAGGAGACGAAAAAAATAACGCTCGTCTCGGCATGCGTACGACACAGTCAAGCCACCTTAACTCGCAGTTCTGCATGCATTCCTTGAGGGGAGTACCCTCTGCTTCACGAAGAACCCGTCATTGCGAATTCTCTGCAACAGCCGACTCCAGGCATACTTCTCAGACACAGGTGCTCAAAGAACTGAAGATGTCTGAGATCCTCCACTCGAAATGGGCACGTCTCGCAATCGTACAACAATACGGCTCGAGATTTAGTCTGACAAGCACGTCCCTTGAGACTCAGTGACATGCTTTCTTGATGTCACAAGTGGCGCCAGTTTAAAAAAGCACTTCTAGACCTTGAGATTCGTGCGTTGACTTCGTCTGTCACACCAGCGTCGAAGCCAATACAAACTCCAAGATACGTATCGCGTCCGACAACTTCCAATGTCACTTCTTAAATCCATGGAGGCATGTTCAAAGAGATGGCACGGTTAGAAGACGATACGTCCCGTAGCATGACTTTGCACTTCGTGAACCTTCCATTCCGTAATTTGAGCTCGACATCATGATGATTTATACTGTTTCTGAACTATGCATTCTCAAAGCTGCATCAAGCCTGGTCCCACGCTCCCTTTGAAGTGCAAAATGCCCCGATGCCGTGCTCAAAACACCCTAACCATGTCTACCAGATCATGCCAAGACTGATACATTGACAAACCGATTAGTTGATGTCTTGTTGAAGCGTTCTTATTAGTAACCAAAACATCATGCCCAGAGACTAAAACGTAACTCAATATGGTGAAAGGAACACCTCCTAACCAGGATTCACGAACAAAAACACATGTCAAAAATATATACAACTGGTGAAGACGCGGTTCCGTTTGGGTTGTTAATGAAACAGGAGTAGGGTGCACAAAACAATGAAATTCAAATGGGGGAAACTCACCCGACCTGGACGATTTTTCCTGGTATATAACGTAGCCCATACATTTTCTCCACCTATCTGGGGTTCTAGGACAAGGTCCGTGTCTCTAGGGGCGACAACCACACATTTGGGCGGCAGAGATCCACGACCCGGACCAAGCGTGACAACGGCTTCCGTAGACGATCCAACAAAACAAGAAGGAGGCAGGTGAAAGCTATCCAGAATTCGTGCTCCACTACCAATCCATGCTGTATCAGCCCTCACACGATCACCGATAAAAACGTCGGGCAACGCAACAACACGCCGGAGTCGCGCAAGCCGTCCCACGTAACAGTTGGAAGTGAGAGCACAGTCGACCAAACACGCACCAGATCCAATAACGCAACCGGGTCCAACTAGACAGGCACCAACCAATCTTGCCTTCGGATGCACTTTTGCTGATTTTGCCACGTAGCATGAAAGACCGACACAATGTAGTGTGCTGAGGTCCATGAGAAAACTTGGTGGGAACAGTGAGGCAGTCCCTTCCTCACGTGCTAACAGAGTAAAGGTAGTGTTGATCAAGCTGTGGAGGTCAGGCGCCGCCCTTAAGGTAAGCGGACCAGACGGCAAGGGGTTAATATGGATTGAATAACCCATGACTTCTTCGTTGGTGAGGACATCGTGAACCAGATCATTCATTGTCTGATAGTCGAAATTATCCTATTACAAAAAAACGGAATATAATGAGTGCCGCAAAGATGCTGTGGAATAGCGGCCGAAATGCAACAAAACGGAAACACTGATACCACAAGTCTAAATGACAACTCATAGTAGGGTGCCTGTTCTAATTGAACTCCAGGATTCGAATATGTTAATCGCCTGTTGTAGAGCGTAAAAAATTCAATGAAAACCAATGCCAATTGAGATGTGGATGCATTCGTGCGACCTCTAGTACTTATTGAGCAATTGTGATTCACCATGCTCTAGGCAAATAGATGGCATACAACCAGAGGAAACGTAGTAAACACAGATAATACCAAACTGCAGTGAACTTGAACGGACTTGAATGGATTAAAACTCGAGACGAAACTGTAGACGTCCTACTCTTCGAGCAACATCTACGTAATTCCAATCCCAGGGTACTGAAACTTCCAGCAAAACGCAAAGATACCAACGCAGCAAACAGCTTCAGAATGTTCACAAGTGAAGAACAAGCGAAAATTACAAGACAAATCTTAACTGCTTTGAATGGCTTGTTGGTCGACAAAAAACGGATTTTCCCGAATCAACATAACAATCATCCGACCGGATTGACGGATATTCAACGGACTGGCGAATATTCAAACGTGATCTGAACCTAAAAATAGCAACAGAGGAAAAATGAAAGCTGATCTTCAAGCGACGCCTGAATCACGCCGACGAGTGAAGTGATCCAACTATCCATTTTCACAAAACAACAGATCCGAAGTGAGTTTGGCTTTGATGCCGAGCGAAGCATAAAGCTTTCATCCCACGATAGAGGCGAAAACTTTCCCCCGGCCTGCCGTTGGGAAACCAGCTTGGAGCGGTGGCTTATACAGTTTTGGCGGCCTACAGCCGTTTTTGGGCTACACCATACATCGTTTCGTTGGTAGATTCAGTCTGATGAAGTCTGACACTAGGATAACTAGAAAACGGTCATTCTTACTACGACAATTGGGGGCGATTTCGACCGCACGCTTATCCATCCTAAACGTATTAAGCAGTGTACATTAGCAAATCAAGACCCCTAAGACTAGAATAAAAAACCGTCGACGAAGACAGTAACTTCTGGGCACAGTAAAGTTACAAATCGGACGACGGAGGACATTTCACCACTTGCGAGAAATCCCCTAATTCAGATGGTTTGTACTACTTGCATGCTAAATTTAATCAATCATAAATAGGCATTGGGTGCATTAGAAAGGTATGGTTCCGTAAGAACAACGCGCTGTGCGTTTCATCCCCGTTGGGACTAATCAGATGCATACGGCAAAACTCGATGGCTTGATGTTCAGAGATGCCAAATCCAAGCGGTCGCGGACCACTCGTGTGCACATGAGCCATAAAAATTCCGCTTCGCAATCATCATTTGTAAAACCTCCGAACCTACGACTTGGTAACTACCAGGTTTTCTCTAAGCATCGTCAGGAAAGTTGGGAACAAGTCTATCTTGTCCGAATGTCACCGTATGTTCGCAAGCCTTCGTTTCATGATTAAAAATGGGAGTACTTAAACGTATAGGGAAACCATAACTACTAAACAAGTCCACCGTTAACTGAGTCTTGTAACCAGATTGTATTTGCGAACGCAGAGACTGATTTCATCCAGTAGTGTATTCGTGCATTTTTATCTCGAAGTTTATTGGAAGTTCTTACGCAGACATGGAATGAGACCCGACCGCACATAACTCAGAAGACGTGCACCCAGCCAAAATGATTCACGGAAACTCAAAACCGTAGAACACGAAGGATATGTCGGTCAGTTGCAACAACGAGTGCAATCAATTCACTGATTTTGCGCACGACAGACAAGCTAAAAACCACGGCGGACTCTAAATATTACTCAAGACTGTGGAACTTTCCGAATCGACCAGAAAAGTAGGTGCACAACTCTTCGTGTTACGTTTGATGACAGATTATTGGAAGTACTTGCCTGAGAACAGAAATTTTGTATTCTTCGTGATTTTGATACGTCTAAGTACGAGTTCTGAAATAGTGCTGCCCAACAAAATCGACTGACGGAAAACTGTCCAAGATACTTTCAGATGGGGCGAAAATTCACCGAAGCCTTCAGAAAAATCCCACAATAGAAGCCAGACTGACCGTTTGGAACGATTGAAAGACTACTTTTTATAACAAAACCTAAGTACGAGTATCTAAGGTCTACTGGCCCATACAATCCACGTATATATGGACTGTCCAAAATATATAGGAGAAACCTGTTCGCCAAGAACGGCACAACATGGGCAATCCACCGCACCATTCAATCGGTCATTGGGTGAAACACCTCCTCGAACCCATTCGTTCACTCAGTCTTCAGGATACTTTGGTTCAGAGTCGTTCTAAAATCTGCACGTCGATAACGGATATATGTGCATATTGGACGTTTTGATTTCTATTTGGAACACATGTCCGATATTACTTTTCGTATACGCTTGCTGAATCCAGAGAAGTACTTTAAAGGTGAACTTTTAACAATCAATTACTCAAGGTCAAAGGCATGGAGTGGAAATGAGCTGCCCGATTAGTCCAACCCTAGTTGATATTCTTGCGATCACGTTCCATCAGATTCTTGGAACCCACTATTTAACAACGCACTCTTATAAGCACTATTTGGACCATATTTTGTCATTTACGAATCCGATGTGAAAATAACAAAACCAAAAAACGCAATCCTTTAAAAGGGCTCAAACTGCGTCCACCTCGTGGGGATGGACCGATTGTTTCACTAACTTAGTTATCGAGGTGTTCGAATAAGATTGAGGAAGATGAGTTCACAGAGGGACAGTTACCACCTGCTACAACTTTGGACCACATATTTCCTAGAATATCACAGATACTCGATGGCTTGTTCAAATCAAAATTACGAATGGCACTAACTACTCTAGGAGCATTAATTTGGTGGCTGTTATTCATGCTGGCAATAGGCCCCACCATCCCCTTTCAGATTTGACTTTCGTACACTCCGCCACATGTATTCATCTAATGTTCCGTTCAACAAAATTAGTCACCAGCTTCGAGTACCTCAGGATAACTAGAAACACATCTGAAGAATTAGATGAATCTAACGGCGTGGCATTGAGAATGAAAAACAGGGTAAAATTCCTGTCGAATGGCAAGACCTTACAAATAGAATGCTTGGGCTTAGACGACAGTGAAGCACTATTGCCGAAGTAGATGTTGCTTACCTGAAACAATGCAGGAATGTGGTGGCTACAGACAGCTATGCCCAGGTCCAACAAATCCGAGGCAAGCTCTGAGAACTGGTCTGTCCGGAGTAAATCCTGGGCGGCTATTATCGGACAAGGATCGTCCAGAGCGGAGGATAACTGAATCAGACGATTGTCAGCCGTATGCGAGAACAAAACTGTGACACCCCATTCAGCTGCCTGGGATGGGCTTAGTTTCGATGAACAAGGAGGAAGTATCAAACTAAGAATAGCATTTGAATTACGGGAACGAAGATCCTCATGTTGTCGTAAAAATGGCATCAGCGGGGTTGCGCAAATTAAGTCCGCAGGAACCAGAAAAAAATCAGTCACACCACGAATAACCTGACTCGTATCCAGGTCACGCATAACATCACCCAAACTGTGACTCGTTTCGCCGTTGTGTACCGAAATGCGTACAGACTTGTAACAAGAGTTGTTCCGCAGAAAAGATCGTAACTGCTCGTAATGATCACAGGCATAGATTAGAATATCTTTGAAACCATCCTCAATAAGACGAGTTAAAGTGAAATGGAGTAGTGGAACACCCGCAAGAGGCAACAAACAGTGTGCTGTGTGGTTCACAAGAGGCTCGAAGCGAGAGGACAATAAATTAGCTATAACCACGGCATACGGGCCCTTATTGTCCTCCTTGAATACTGTTGAAGTTCCGGATCCCTTGGCTGACGTGTTGGACTTTTTGGTAGATTTACTTCCTGTGTGCTTCGACATGGCGGAAGATCACACCGGTTCTCTGCGTGAGAAAGAACTTTTGAAATGCGATTAATGACAGAACAACAAAATAGGTATTTACATGCACGAGTGTAAAACACACTTTGGGAATAAACGACTGTAAGCCTTATCGAACTTTCTCTGAAAAGTAAATAAGGCAGTCTCAATAAGTCACCTAAAAGAGAGCACCCACCAACTAAGACCACTTAAATACGTTCCTGTGAGATCCTGATTAAAATCGACAGCCTCTGGAATGTCTCAAGACGACTCTGGAAAACAGTCCTCTACAAGGTCCAGGATAGAGAAACCGCACAAAAGACTGTCGCATCCCGGTGGCATGTACGTCCAACGCATTGTAATGAAATTCAGTCTAAGGTAGTTATGGGACCGATAACACAACTTTCAACCGAAGCATATTACTTTGATAACCCCCTGCGTTAACGAGGTGGCCATCCCTTGAAAGACGATAACAAATCAATGGATCAGTCACCATATGGAGTATGCACCCGGAGAGTGAACGACAGTTTGGTAAGCGTCAGGTCACACGGTGTAAGTGTTGATGTTGAAAATTAGTGATGACTAGAAACAGGTAAAGGCTAGTGCACAATCGAAGCGCTCGACTACCATCGTGAGCGCGGCAAGCATCTGCTCCGCACCGACTACCTGGGCGGACTTCTTCGGAGCCAGTTCGAATAACCTAGGCGTTTAAATCGCTCAAAAAGGTGAGTTTCCGCACTTTTCGCGAACCAAATCAGCCTAGATAAACCCAACAAAAGGGTAACTATCTTAGCTTCGGGATTAGAGTCTGTCCGCAAGTAGGTTGATCATCGCAAAGTCCACGTCTGTCCATCATGTCGCGGTGACAGTCACCGGTCAAGAGGCCTGATGAATGGGAGTCATTGCTCGCTCTATGTCATTGTCTGCAATCTATTCAACGTCATTAGTGATTTGGGCTGACTTGTCTTACTGTACCCATATATACAAGGTGTCTTCTACTGGAATCCAAATGCAGTTGCATAGCGGCACTCTTAGCTGCATACCATTGGTATTGCATTGAGAGTCAAGTTGAGTGAGACTGAAAGTGGGCTACTCCTCATGTGCCGACGAAGGGCGCAGCAAACTGCATGGGTCAATGAAAATGATGCAGTGCTTTGTAAGTTAACGCACTGAACGCACATTGCGGCTGTTAAATTGCTTATGGTCACAACTCTCCAGGTCACAAGCTAAACGGACGCAAGAAAAGTTATGAATTAAGTATTTCCAGCTGGAAAGACCCCCCAGTCTTGGAGATAATGGACATCACCGTGGTGTGACAGTTTACGCATCTTCGTAATCCATACGATTACTAACGCAACATAACAAACCACCTCAGATCAAGTTGGTTTATGGATACAGCCTTGACAACAAGTGGTTATAGCGCGAATTTGCTGACCGGAAGGTCCGTGGTTTGAACCCGACGTCTGCCTCTCGACTTCCCCTGTCTAGGCTTGGGCAACCGGGCAGTATCCCAGCCCTCGTGCTTCCTTCGGGTAGCGTGGCAGCTAGGCACCAGATGTTACAGCTGAGACATGTATGTATGTCTGCACCTAAACTGCTGAATTGTTTGTGGCACCATGAGAGTATCTCGGCCGACGAACAATCAAAAGCCGATGAAAGGGATGGTTTCTTCGAGCTATTATGTGGTATGTCATCACCAACAGAGACAGCAACATCACCGGTGACACTGAAGACTCCCTACTGCACAACCTCGACGTTTTAGTTATATTTCAAGTTTTGAATTGAAAAGAAGGTAAAGGCGTTGACGAGGTGAGAAAATGATTCCGAAATACTGCAAGCCTTCTCCAAGCATGCAATCAAACAATCTGAAAAGAACGCCACTGACGTCCATCAGCCGGCACTTCCCTCGATTTCCTCAACCAAGAGCAGAGGAGCGTGAGGACCCCATCCCGGAAGACGGACCGCATCAACAGCCAAACTCTCTTTAATACCCTTCTGACAAGTTCCAAGTTATCCACCTCGTGTATGATATTTCGAAGGAGGCACGGAGAACAACCATAGTCTCGGTAAACGACAGGCGCAGCGCCTGGTCAAGCAGTCGGAGGTGATCGTTGTCGACATTTTCTGCAAGCGATGTAAGTGCTGCAAAACCAAATACCCTTTTTCAAATTACCCTGTTGCGAATTATCTGATGCCACTCCACACCAGCAATGTTTGTGAGACATCGATGCCCAAAGATCTCAAGACGCTTAACATCATCTGTCCACAGAGATCGTGTCTCGAAACAACAATACAGCCCTTACTGTAGCCTGGCACACGTGACCCCTGAAACCCAGTGATATACCTTTTTAACACCAGTGACGCAAATAAGCGAACGCAATTCAGTCCTTTGAGATAAGTGCACTGGATTCAACAAACTCAATTCCGTCAGAGCCAATAAAACTATCGGGTTATGTAAAATTCTCCACAACTTTCTCTTGAATTGCCAGCAGCATATTCAAAATCTGCATCACTGATTTCACAAAATCACGTCTTTTTCTATCCAGAGATTACCGCGCGCAACAGTTACATCAGTGTTGGCACTGATGCTTCACTGCCGTACAAGCACAAGGTCCACCTAGTTATATATATATATATATATATATATATAATTATATTTAAAGCACAAGAGTGAAAAGGAAAGGGTGGGTGGGGGAGAGGACCTAGTGTTGGCCTATGTCAAGAATCCGAGGTGCTTACACCTCCAACCGATCAACCAGGCAATCTAGAAAGGAACTGACAGCACGAGCGCCACTGACATCGATTAGCCGCCATTTCTTGCAACATCTCCAGTCAAGCACATTCAGGGTCACGGAGACCTCATCCTGGAAGGTGTACAACACCAAGAACACCCAAACTCTTCGTGATCTCTTTCACGCCTTTCTGCCAAGGCATGTGCTGTCCACCTCGCGGTCTGCGACATCGTGAAGGAGGCACGGAGAACAACAGTCGTCTCGGTAGACGGTGTTTCGCCATGAGTAGCACACGACAGTCATCGTAGTTGATGAGATTGAGATGCCTGCAGCACAACCAAGTGCCCGTTTTCTAATCACCTCGTTAATAACACGCTGAGATCCAAAACCAGTCACGCTTCTGAGGCACCGGTGGTCGGAAACTTGAAGACGCCTCACATCATCTTTCCGCAAAGACCATACAACAACACAGCCCTTAGTGTAGCCTGGCACACACGACCTTTAAGATCCAGTGAGATGCCTTTTTGACGCCATAAGTGACGCAAATTAGCAAACGTGATTCGAGCATTTGAGATTCTTGCACTGACTTCATCAGACACACTTCCGTCAGAGCTAATACAACTACCGAGGTATGTAAAGTTTTCCACAATCTACAGTGGTTCTCCTTGAATTGTACTTGAATTGTAGGGGATATGTTCGCAGATGGCACGTTTCTGAAGCATACTTTGTACTTTGGAGGTGCAAGGAGCATGCCAAAAGATGGCATGATGGTGGTCAGTTTATTCAACAGGGCTTGTGTTTCGTTTTAGTCTTCAAAGATGAGGGCAGTGTCATCTGCGTACTCTACATTGACAAGGCTCTCACAAGCAGCAATTTGAACACCGGGGTTTTGAAGACCGTCTAGTGTTCACCTTATTATTTCATCAGTAACGAAGTTGAACAAGAATGAGGAGAGTGGGCATCCTTGCCTGACACCACTTTTTGTTGGGAAGCTTTTGGGGAACTCACCACACACTCTCACCCGCCCAGAAGTATGTGAATATAGGGATCGGATTATATTTACAAGCTACTAGGGCATACCCTGTCGACCAAGTGTAGTTAACAGCACTCATCGATCAACAGATCAAAAGCAACCTTGAAGTCAAGGAATACTAGGATTGTGGGTCGTCTGTACATGCAGCGTTGCTCTAACACCTGACCTAGTGTGAAGATGTGGTCAACGCAGCCTCTACCCGGTCGAAATTCCGCTTGATTCTCACGAGTCAAAACTTCGCGCGCCACCGTAAGACGACGAAGAATCAGTGATGCCAGAAGCCTTGTCACACCAGGCGTCAAACTAACATATCTGTGGTTGCTGAATTCACTGCGAGTACCATTTTTGAAAATGGTACCACTATCGATTCACCCCAGTTGTCTGGACCGATCCCTTTCTCCCAGATAGACCCAAATAGGCTAGACAGGCACTGGCTGAGGAATCCACCGTCATCCGTGAAAAGAGCAGGTGGAAGGTTGCAAGGACCAGCACGATGACGCCTCAGTAAAGACACATATTAGGACACTGAGACTGAAGGGGGCTTCATATTTGCTGTCCTAATTTCTTTTGAAGGCCAGAATTCTGGATTGAAGGTAGATGGCCAGCTGAATTGCTGCTCGAAGTACTATGCCTAGCGGTCCATATCAGGGAGTCATTTGGGACACCGATTAGTTCGTTGACAGGTTTCCGAGGACCAGTCAAACGAATCAAGTGGAACAGTTTGCGCACGTTTCCAGCGTTCTTTACATCTTCCATTTCTTCGACCTTTCGGGTCCACCAAACTTCTTGGTCTGTGCGGACCCTCGGTTTCACCTGGCGTCGGATGATGCACCGGGTGGAGTTGTGGTGGCAGCCAGTTGGAATCTGTCGCCCAGTCTCCAGCAAAGACACGATCCTATCAGAGATCCAATGCTTGGATGAGGTTGGCTGGGTTGTACCGCAAGCAGACGATCCGGCTTTGAGTAGCGCTTTGGATAATTTTTCTCAGTGGCCGTTTATATCCGACACCGTACCGTCCACCAGGCTTTCGAGGAGCTGGTTCTGATAGTTTCGTTTGACTTCTGGATCCACTAGCTTCTCAGTTGCTGAGCGAAGTGTGCGCGTTTCGCGTACACCTGATAGTGCAATGAAAAGCAGTAGCGTACAAGTGCAGGGTCGGAGTCCACCCTGGTGTTCCAGAAGGAGCGGCAGGCAGTGATCGACCATCGCCACGGATAACTGACGGCGACATAGTCTATCTGAATTCAGCGCTGGTTTTTGGTGGGCACCACGTTGTCAGCGATCTCCGCTGTTCCGGAAATTTGTACTACAAAGGAACAGTCTGTGATCGACACACATCTGAAGTAACCGGTATCCGTTGTCCGTCCGTCTCGTGTCCAAACCAAGACGACCACCCAATCGGGCCTCAGCAGCGCTTAGTCTACCTACCTGGGCGTTCATATCACCAGCAACCAAAGCGATATCTGAGCTTTGAGCCTGCTGTAGAAGGGCACATAGAGCATCATAGAAATTGTCCTTGGCAGATTCAGAGCTACAGTCAGTTGGGACGTAAGCAGACACAATAGACAAGGTGCGATAAACCTCAATTCCTCTATATTCTCTCACCGATGTTGCCAAACGAACTGCACAGAGGCGACTACGAACGGATATCCAATCAAGCAGAGACGCTTCCGCTCGTTCGCTCAATACAATACCCACCCCAGCAT